GATTTAGAAGCTTCTCTGCTCATTTCCAAAACCTCTCTCAAAGCCCAAAAAGTTGAAGTCGCAGAACTGGTTGAAGAATTGGAGAAAAGAGGGAGAGAGTTGTGTAAGAAATATGAACATATCCAACTGCAAACGAGACAATTGGAGGAATTACCGAAGAAGATTGAGGGACTAGAGGAAAGTATTAGGATTTTGAAGGAAGAGAATGGTTCGAGTGGTGAAGGGCTGGGAAATCCAAATCTTAAATTAGGATTAGATAAAACGAGGGAATTGGTAGAGGAAAGAGAGAAAGAAAGGAGAGAATTGGATAGACAGTTGGAACAACTGCAAGTACTTGTTCCGAGAAAAACTAAAGAGGCGGAGAGGTTAAATGCGGAGTTGATACCGCTAGAAGGAAAGAGGATGACGAGTGTAGCGGCTGCGAAAGAGGCGAAGAGGAGGAAGGAAGAGGGGGCTGGAGGCGCGGGAGATGATTTGGAGGAGAGAGGGAGGTGGTGGAGGGGTGTGGAGGGAGGATTAAGAGGGATGTTGGGGGTGGGGGAGGAAGCGTAGTGTTGGAGATTATTTGTGTTCAAGGAGTTTCTGGAAGCCTGGTTTTTGGGAAAGGGAAAGGGAAAGGGAATTTTGGTTTCGGGAGTTTATGGTTAGCTACTAGGACCAGGACTGGGTTCGCTTGACTTTGAGATATCCTCTTTATATATTGATATCTCAGCGAGGCAGTAGGCTCAAGAATATGTTAAATTTTACATTTTAGAAGTCATATTTATTTGTCCATTTGTTTGTATGTGGGATCTGAATTATCAACGGTTGTGAATGAGCGTACATTCTGATTTTGTATTGTTTGGATTACGCTTGTTTATATATATGGTATATATGTGAAATGAGAACAAGAGGGGGTTCTTATCAAATGACTTTTGGGTTGGGAAGTTCGTGGTATAACAGAGAGAGAAGGATAAGATGCGAAGTACCCTTTATTTTTGGACTTAAAGGGGGAGGGGGTGCATAAGAATAGAAAGCGCGAGAAGAATGTGTGAGTGAAGCAAACTTATGGGATTGGAAGATTGGGAACTTGGGAACTTGGGAGAAGGAGAAAGATATGGATGCAGTTTATTTAGTATAGAGCTGAGAATGCAGGATGAGTTGAGGTTTCTAGAGGGTTCGTTACGAGGGATTTCAAATGGTGATCGGGTATGATTTGATATGATATAATATGATTTGATATGATAGTTGGCTATGTGTCTGCACGGTAAGTGATGGAAATGGATGTGAGTTACCTAGTACATGAGTGGGATTCGATCGAGGGATTTCTTATGATTTGATTTCGAGGTGCGGATGATAAGCTTGCTATGAGTAGGTAGGTAGGTAGTTCCGACAGCTATCGACACTTTGCTGATCGTTTTTCAAACTGGCATCGTGGGTTAGGAAATTGAAGTGTGGTGGGATGATTGAAGAAGAGTATGGGTGTGTGTGTTAAAGAAAACTAATCACTCGTCGGGCTAAAGGATCTGGAAAGATGGATATGGTATATGTATGTAACTTCTTCCCATGGATTATTCGTACTCAACTCATCGATTTTCAAACTGCAGATCGTGGATTGAGAGATGGGAATGGATGGAGGAGGAGGAGGAGCAGATGATAGTGTGTGTGTGTGTGTGTGTGTGTGTGTGATTTTAGGGAATAGTTGTTCGTGAGATGTGGATGATGGAGATCAGATAGTGAGATGTTCTGGTGACTTGTTTATATTGGGGTTTTCAGGCTTTGAATGGGAATGATGGATGGATGGATGGGAAGATTCTGGAATGATTGTGTGTATTAAAGGGCTAGTTGTCGATGGGAAGAAGAGGTGAAGATCAGGTAATGTGAAGCTTCGGCCATCGCTCAAAGCTGTAAGCATCGAGGTTCGGAAACTATTGAGGTTGTAGTTTATAATTTTCATTCCGACGGAGAGAGAGGTAGTGGAACGGATGAAGTGATGAAAGTGTTGAAATGAGATGGTTGTTGGTTTGGAGGGGCGAGGATTAGAATGAACGTGGGATTTAGTTGTATGCCATAGGACCATTCGGAAAGTTACTAGCTCTCGAATTATCAAAACTAGAGATATCAAAGTTGTGTTTTAAGCAGTGCAACTGAAAAATTAAAGGAGGCATAATTCGAAATAAATCGTTATTGGTTGCTCAAAAAGTCAGGACTATTCTCATGCAAGAAACCAATCTATCGAGTTGCTAAATATCTCGGTTAGAACCCATTTCATCTAAATTGGAAGACTACAACTTGGAACAAACTTTGATCACTCGACCTCATGTTACATATAAATCAAAAAAGCATCGGAAGAAAGAGTTACTAACATCGATAGAGACATACGCAATGTACGTGTGAAATACCTACAGTATCTGCAATGCATGTGAGCTGAAACCTCCAACGTAAACTGCAAACCACTCTACGTTGGCATATTTCTCAAATAAAGTATCAGACAATAGACGAACATCTTATCAAAGTAAGCAAGCTCGAGGCAAGTCTGACTCCATACCCACTCGCATAGGATAGACGAGTAGTATTACCCCGGAAATTTCGACTCGGTATTGTCCGAAAGGCAATGATTGGAAATCTGGGGTATCACAAATACGATGGTTTCAGAAAACGTGCGGCATAGAGAGGCAGGCGTGTCTTACCTGGGTATGCATTGATGTCAGATTGGGGATAAGAATGGATCCTGCCTGTGAGCGAAAAAGTAAAAAAAACAAGGAGGAAGCTGGTTGTCAGGCTTGTGCATGATGGATGGAGAACAGATGACTTGTGATCAGCTGGGGGTTTGGACGTTGGATTCTCCACTGTGAAGTTATGTTCCACTCTATGCATTGAGGATTTGAATTAGAAGATTTGGAAGAGGGGTTGGCAGAAAATGAGAATAGATAGATAGGTAGATAGGTAGATAGTGAGCACTTGAGTGGTAAATCGAGATGGGAGTATTGATTGTACATGTACAGACGATAATGTAGAATGAATCAAGTAAATCGCGCATTTGAAGATAGGCATTACTTGAAGAGAAGTCCTCTTTTGTACTTCCACATGTAGTTCCATTTCTTGAACATATCGATTACTAGGTAGTAGTAGGTAGGTGTGTCCTTCACGAAATGATGGGATGAAAAACAGTTATGCGTAGAGATTGATTAAACCTCGGATAACCCCATTATTGGGTTGGGCAAGATCAAGTACGGACGAAACGAAATAGGTAATTTTGTTAATATCGTAGCCTTCCCAACCCACAACTCATAACTCACAAGACTTTCTTGGCCAACAAAGGCGTAAATATCGGGAAGCGCGCGTTATCTGCCAAATACTTGGGAGTTGGGACAAAGATGCACGGTGTAACCAAGATGATTGAATACCTAGTTGATATCCCCCCCTGCAAGTAGGATGCCAAATGGATGCAAGATGATATAGTGACACTGTGTGAGGTGAGCTATACAAGGGTTTAATGGGAGGCTTGAAGAAGGAATGAGGCTTAAGATCTAAAGAGATCTTCGTATAAGCTCCGTTTGCTTTTTTTAACCTTGTATAGAATAGCTCCTACATGGTTGCATGTACGTGTGGCAACGTCGCTAACTCATCATTATCCACAACCCCATCATCATCTCCAACCACAAACATCAACATCACAACATTACCTTCAAGTTGAGTAGAAAACCCCGTATATTCATCATCTACCTTGGAATTTGGTCATCGTGTACAGTACAACTGGAGTCAAGCCAACATGCGCACAACATCCTCACATCTTCAACCACTCAAAATCCTTTTCCCACTTTCTAAACTCGAGCGGCGCTTATCTTTTACCTCTTTATCAGAATACCTAGAGAGTTGTGTCTTAGAATCCTTAACCTTACTACTCCACCGCCATTGTGTCTCCATCATTTTTTACCATTGATGGTCTCTGTGGCGCTCTATTTACCCCATATGACCTTTCTTTTGACAATTCAGGGTCCTCTTTTCTGCCACAACATGATGTTTTCGACGGTAGTTGGTAGACTAATCATGTAGTGATCTTGTACTAACCGGAGTGAATCTTCAATACTTGAGCTGAAGCTGTGATTTTGTCGTCATTGAATGTTGGATACCTAGACACATGTTTGAGTGAGTAGTAGATAGTAGGAGTAGAGAGTAGATACTGGCAGTAAATAGTAGATAGTATTGTAAATATTGTTAGCAAATAATAGACAGTAGATATTGTTATTGATTAAATAATAGATAGAGTAGATATCAAGTGCTAGATACTAAACAGTAAATAGTTGATAGTCTTTAATACAAAAACAAAAATTAAACACTACACCGTCTAATTAAATAAAAATGAAGGGGTTAGAAAAATGATTAAACGATTAAACGAGTAAACGATTTCTTGATCATCCAACCCCTCATCCCTCATCCCTCATCCCTCATCCCTCATCCTTACCATCTCATCCTGACCATCAAGGTAACTAGGTCAAGTATAAAGTATATCTCTTATATTAATTTCTTCTAAGCTCTTTCCTTTTCCCTTATCGCTTGGATCTCATTTGTACAAGTAGATAGTTGCTTGAGAAATTCTCCGATTTCCCAAAAAGATCTTCATTTCCCATACTCGTATTATTATATATGCATGTGAGGGAAGTCGGCTTTCTGACATTCTGACTCCCTCATTGCCCCTCCATACTTTATCTACCTACCTACCTACCTACCCACCTACACCTTTCTTACATTCTTCTCTATTGTCCTATAAAGCAAAATACCTACAATCATCTCCGAGGGGGTGTTTGGTGTTTGGTTTCATTGCTCATTCCAAATATCTGTTTACTACAAATTGGTTTGGTCCGAGTACACCGACACCTTAGTGAATTCCAACCAGCCTCGTCATAAGGCTGGTGAAACCCGTTTGCCCCCAATTGTTTTCTTCGATCGATTCCTAAGAACCACCACATTCTGGATATGATATAGAAATCCTTCCTTCTCTATCAGTTACGACCATCAAAATGGGCGACGACTCACATGCCGAAATCTCTCCACGGGAAAGACCTTCTGAACCACACTCATTTTCCGCTCGGGATCATGCTGCGGATACTCCCACACATGAAAAGGAAGATGGAGATTTGAACGACTCAGATGTACCTCGACCTTCGAAATGGAGTATGGGAATTTTGAATGTACCAGATACTCATGAAGTTCCTGGTAAGATGTCCAGCCAACCCCTCGGTGCGCATAATATCTAACAAACTATTCTCCAGGTTCGATTCTCCTTCTCACAGGCAAACGAAATGAACCATTAGGTTTACGAAATGCCCCAGCTAGAACTTCAACATCTACACTTCCACCTCAAACTCCATATGATAGAAGTCGTGCAGCTTCAACTCGGTCGGAAAAGAAATTGACCAAAGATGGGTCAACTGTTTTGGATCCGCAACCAGAAGAATCAAGTAATGATCCTCTTAACTGGCCAATGTGGAGAAGAGATGCAGCATTACTTTCCCTCGGATTATATTGTATGTTGGGAGGTGGTATGACACCAATTTTAGCTGCCGGATTTACAAATGTTGCGAATACGTACGATGTTACAACCGCCGATGTTGCACTCACTACTGGATTGTATATGATGGGTCTTGGCGTTGGTTCAGTAATTGCTTCTCCAACAGCAATTTTATACGGAAAACGTCCAGTTTATCTTGGTGGAGCAATTCTTTTCATCCTTTCTTGTATATGGTGCGCTCTTTCGCCATCGTATATTTCCCTGCTCATTGCCAGAATCGTTCAAGGTATTGCACTGAGTCCAGTCGAATGTTTACCATCTGCTACAATTGCAGAGATTTTCTTTCTACACGAACGTGCTTATCGAATCGGAATTTATACCTTGTTGCTGCTCGGTGGAAAGAATTTGGTACCACTTGTTAGTGCTGTCATTATTCAAACACTTAATTGGAGATGGGTATTTTGGATTGTTACTATAATCGGTGGATTTTGTTGGATACTACTTTTCTTCTTTGTTCCAGAAACATTCTGGGATCGAACACCAAGACCTAAAAGATCAAGATCGAGAAGTCACAGCAGAAAAGGTTCTAACATGTCACAAATGATTCATACATTTGGAGGTCTCAGGCATTCATCATCCAAAGTACATGTTCCTGCAGCTCATCAACTGGATGGAACTGAAGGTGATCAACAACAACAAACAGCCCGATCTTCACAAATTCAGCAAATGAGAGCAGCTGAACCCACTCGAAGTATGCATGTTGGCTTTGTTCCGGATGATATGCATTCAGATTCTACTTCTACGAAAATTGATGAAGACGATAAGGAAGAAGATAAAGATGCTATCACTAGACCTACAAGTCCTCGAACCAGACCCAGTCACTTGGACCATGATGGTAAGATCTGATCTTCTCATAAAATTGAGACATCAAGCTAACAAAGTTCTGTAGTTCGTGTTTCATTTGATCCTAGTACGACTCGATCAGCTACTCGTGATCACGACTCTGTACATCCAGAAGAATCTTCGACAACAGGTGTAGCTACTTTACACGACTTCAATTCACCTTACTATAGTAATATCGAAAAGACCGGAGGAAATCATGTCGATCGTGGTCGTCCAATCGAAAGAAATCTTTCGAATGCAACTCTTCGAGATGCTGAAGAAGGAGTTTCAGTTCGTGAACCATCTCTTGGACCACAATATACGCGAGAACTTCGAGAAGCCCCCAAACAAACTTTTGTACAACAACTCAAAGTTTGGAATGGTCGTTTGGGTAAAGATAGATGGCTTATAGTAGCCTGTCGACCTTTTATTCTCTTTACATATCCGGCTGTCCTATGGTCTTCAATTGTTTATGCTTGTTCAATTGGTTGGCTTATCGTTCTATCCGAATCCGTCGCTGTTATCTATAGAGATAAACATACATATAATTTCTCCGCTTTATCAACTGGATTAATATATCTCTCTCCTTTCATAGGTGGAGTACTAGGTACAGCGGTAGCGGGAAAAGTAAGCGATGTCATTGTCCGGGCTATGTCCAGAAGAAATGGAGGTCTCTACGAACCGGAATATAGACTTATAATGGCAGCTCCAGTCGCATTAACCACAGTCATTGGTCTGATGGGTTTCGGTTGGTCTGCTCAAATACATGATAATTGGATAGTTCCAACTATCTTCTTCGGAATCATATCTTTTGGTTGTTCATTAGGTTCGACAACGGCGATTACGTTTTGTGTGGATTCTTACAGACAGTATGCTGGTGAAGCGTTGGTGACATTGAACTTTTCGAAGAACATCTTTCATGGATTGGTTTTTTCATTGTTCTTTACAGAGTGGTTAGAGAGGGATGGAAGTAAGAATGTATTTATTTGGTTGGGGGTTATTCAGTTGATTTTAATGGCTGCAAGTGTACCGATGTATATCTTTGGGAAGAGAGCGAGAATGTGGACAGTTAGAAAGAATTATATTGAAAAGTTTGGGGCGAGATGGGGGAAATAGATTTGAGGAATGATAACCTCAAGTGTTTGGATGTGCATTCAGGTTAGGGATTGGATAAGAAAGAATGAGTGATGGGAAAGATGAGTAGATCACCAGAGCATCTTTTTTATTTCCGGTTGGTTTAGCGACGGTGTTTGGTCTCGGTCTCTTTTACATATATCATGGATGAGGAGTTTATGTTTTTATGAAAGGTTGTACAGAGATTAAGAGGGCTCTGGTACACCGGTATACATACATATTTGTTTGAATGTTTTGTTTTGATACCAATGGTTTCGCGTTGGCAGTTTAAGATGGACGGGATACAATGGGATACAACGGGAGTCAGAAAGCAGGGTAAATTGTGATGAGGAATTGGAATAAGAGGGACTTTGCGATGATACCATGGATTATATGAGGATGTGGGAATGGAAATGGAATGAAATACCTGAATGAGATACCTGTACTGAAGACATGAAGAGATAGGTAGAATAGAATAGAATAGAATCCTTTCTCCTAAGTATCTGTTTTGTTTAATGAATGAGTTTTTTTTGGATGGGATGAGTGTGTAAGTGAAAGGCGTTGGCATTAGGTGGGGATTCGAATAAGGATTGGAGTGGAGATTAAGATTGAAGTTAAGATTGAAGTTAAGATTGAAGTTAAGATTGAAGTTAAGATTGAAGTTAAGATTGAAGTTAAGATTGAAGTTAAGATTGAAGTTAAGATTGAAGTTAAGATTGAAGTTAAGATTGAAGTTAAGATTGAAGTTAAGATTGAAGTTAAGATTGAAGTTAAAGCAGAGATTTAACTTAGGAGACGGGATGTACTGGACAAGGAATCTAGATCTAGGAATCTGGGAAAGCTAGGAATCTAGGAATCTAGTGTGTGTATTATGGATGTGGATGGGATGTGAGATGTGAGTATATATAATGAGTTTTGAGTTTTGAGTTGTGGGCTGTTAATCTGATTATTGTGATGTGATGTGGTGATGTGATGGATGTTTTGATTGAGGCTGGAATATGGGGATGGGGATGGGGAATGGGGGGTGGTAGGATAGGGGATGTTGGATATGTAGATGGGTGTGGGGTTTGTGATTGGGGCGAGGAAAGGAGGAGGGAGAGGAGGGAGAGGAGGGAGAGGAGGGAGAGGAGGGAGCGGAGGGAGAGAGGAGGGAGAGGAGGGAGAGGAGGGAGAGGAGGGAGAGGAGGGAGAGGAGGGAGAGGAGGGAGAGGAGGGAGAGGAGGGGAGAGGAGGGAGAGAGGGAGGAGGAGAGGAGGGAGAGGAGGGAGAGGAGGGAGAGGAGGGAGAGGAGGGAGAGGAGGGAGAGGAGGGAGAGGAGGGAGAGGAGGAGAGAGGAGGGCGAGAGGAGGGAGAGGAGGGAGAGGAGGGAGAGGAGGGAGAGGAGGGAGAGGAGGGAGAGGAGGGAGGATGAGAGGACGACGATGGCGAGCTTGTTTGATATGATATGATTTGATGGGAGGTCAATGTATAATTGATTCGGAGAAAATACGTAAGATTTAGGTGAGCTTGTGTCTTTTGGTATCTATAAATATAATGATTTTGAATGCGTGGTTACTTTGAATAGTAGGTAGAGCTGGAATGGATAATCAACATAGAGTAAGAGACAGCTGGGGAGAAATCTTACGTTGTCTCTTGATGTTTTATCTTATATCCTAGCTTAGGTATTCTTTGATACACCTAAAAATATAGATATAGGGTTTTCATATTTTTTTACCTATCAGTTGTCTATTCTCATCATCAAGTCGGCGTATATTGTTGAGTTTAACAATATGTTTTGTTAATGACGGTAAGAATTTACCTCACCCCATCTCATCTTTTCACCATCGAAATTCGAGAAAGCAAGTATACTCAGTTGGTAGCTATAGGTATTCCATAGATGATACTTACCTCTAATAATGAAATTCAGAACCAATATGCGTCCGCCCTAGTACCTGAATCGTGGAAGTATTTCGTGAGTGTGCAAATGAACATGTAATTGGGAGTTCGAGGGGGTTTATATATCTGGGTGTGAATTAGGAGGAGTAAGAAAAGGCAGGTAGCTGGAGGGACTAGATAGAAGATGGAGGTATAGAGTGCATGGAGTGAATGAATGAGTGAGAAGATGAGTGAATGTTCGAACGAGAGAATTCTCTCCAATGTCAATCCTACAGGAGTACTTCGATTATATTCTATTTGATCACGCTAGATCTACCCAGGGTTAGAAGGTTATTAATGGCTGGAAAGGCAAAGGCGTCCCTTTCCCAGAAGCTGCATCACTTCTGAAAATGAAGAAATTCAAGGATAATGGAAAGATACGCACGCGTATGGCTGGTGTTGGGAAGTGGGAGGGAGAATGGTAAGATTGAATGGGAGGGGTGGATTTGGGTTATTTGGTTGTTGTTTTTGTTGTTGTTTTGGAGCTACCTGATATTCGTTAAGGTTACGTTTGACGACAACAAAATAGATGTCTTGTCTCAAGCTTCCTACGATGGAGGGATGATAGATACGTATATTTTACTAGCACATTATAATCACAATCCTATTTTGATTATTGAAATTTCCATGCTTTGGAGCTAGTACTCAGAGATGTCTTGTCTTGTCTTCTGAACAAAAACCATGAGTAGGGTTTAGCAAAGGTTGTCTAAAATGCTTGGAGAGGTGATTGTCTAGAAAAGGAGAAACCTATTTATATCTTGGTAGTTATGTATGAGATGGAGAGTATAGGAAGTGGGGTGTGTGGATGAGAGAGTTCATGGAGTTAGGTATGGTAGTGAATAAGAAGTGTAGAGATAGTGACGTGGAAGATGAGTGAATCTCCAAATTCGAGAAGTTGCGAGAGAATTGGAAGTTTCAAGCAAAAGAGGGAGGAGATGATGAGATTGATATTCACCCTCGCTTGAATTTTCAGATCATGATCATGATTGTATGGTATGTCCATCACTATTAAATCTTTACATTAAAAAGAAGAAAACATTCTTGATATTTGAATCAACAAGTGAATTGAATCTAAAGACTGGAACTGTGGATGCATTATGGTTGGAGAAATGAGGTCAAGGGAAACTAAGGGGGATTTGTGTACTCTATTTTTCTTCTTCTATTGATTGTGCCCTACTGAGTGAGTCTTTGGTTCGGAATATCTGGTCCGAGAATTATGAATGGAAGTCATTTATTGCTGAGCACTTCTCTCCTTTCCTCATGCTTATGAAATTAAAATTACAGAATGAATGTAGATAGGACTTTTACTACACTTGGAAACGTATGTCAACCACCTATGATTGGGAATTCGGAATATGCGTGAGGGAACAAAAAATGATATATCTCGACTTTGAGCATTGCGAAATGTATTGAGAAGTGTAAAGTAGTCTTCTTATTTGAAAGATGAAGATTGGGCTGAGAGGAGGCGAGGTACGAGAAGATAGATATACTAAGAAAGACCAAGAGATAGGGATAGAGGTAGAAGAAGATGAATATGCGAAACAAGAGGAAACGATGAATGATATAAAGGTAAAGCTGCAGCCAGATTTTCGCTATATTTCAAGCTTGAAATGACCAGTCACACAACAATTAAATGTTTCTGAACAGACGTAGTGCTCAGAAATCCACATTTCCAAGGAAAACTTCAGCTGCCTATCCCATGAAGCTCGGAGTTGTACAATGATAAGAAATAAGGATGATACATATTTGACTTCTACAACTGATCTGAGGAAGTCGGAGAAGAGGCTCGTAACATGTTATCATGGAAAGAGACAGCAAAAATCGACTTCTCGCTTACATTCCAAATTCCAGATTCGAAATACTGACAACAAAAACCAGATGCACACTTTCATTGTTCGAATTCAACAAGAGGTTTAGACTCTGTATGACATTTCAAGATTTGTTCAAAGAGCAGGTTTGCGGTGTCAATGAGAACATAAAAGTTTCATGCCTTGACTGCAATCTTTCTTGTGTGTCTTGGGAACGTGAAAGATGGGAAGAGGGAGGATATTTATATATGTGGGAAGGGGTGGAAAAGTCGAGAAACGGTGTGGAGTTAAGAGTGAGAGTCAAGGAGTGGGTAGGGGAGTGAATGGTAAGAGAATGAGATAGCGAAAGAGATGAAAAGGTGCGAAGAAGGACTGGAAGGATGGGTGAATGTCTACATTTGGGTATAGAGAGAAAATGTAAAGAAGAAGAAAAGGAAGGAGTGAGAGGAAGTTAGGTTATTCACTCGGTGGATAAATCGTTTTGAGAAACTCAATATTTAAGAACTGCAATTGATGGATAATAGATCCTTCAGCTATTTTCGAAGCCATCCGATACTCGACAGCAGAGGAGGAATTGAGGTTTGTCGAAGGTTTGGATTTTCTCAGGGATGAATCTTGATTCTGAGAAAAACAGGCCGATGAGATTAGAGAATGGGATCGGGGTAAATGTTCGTTGCTCGCATTACGCTCAAATCTCGTCTCAAACTATGTGTCCAGAAGGTCGACAATGAGAATGTTATTGTTGTCGTTTTTCTGTAATACTTGAAATGATAACCACCAGCGAAACAGCTTCACACGCAAATATTCAAACTTCAACGTATAGAAAACTTGCGCCTAGAAGTCTTAAGTGGGCATTCGTTAAATTTGACTACTAATTAGGGATTGAGGTTTGATACCACAACGCCACTTAATGTTTCGTAGTAGTTATATTTCTAGCTTTGTGGGGGAAAAAAGACAGAGATGAGGAGCTTCTTATATAAGTAGGTAATAGGTAAAAAAAAACAAGTGGAGAGATATGAGATACGAGGGAGATAGGAGTTGCGCAGTAGAGAGATTGAAGAATCGGTGAGTGTTCAACTGGGAGAGACATCAGTTGAATTCCTCATCCGCCATCGTATTTAACTTTCATAGCAAGAAGCGCGATAAATTAAAGCAATCTCTAGAGTTTGGAGTTTTACTATATACGAGAAGCCCTAAGTGAGATATCAACCCATATCAGAAACCCCAGGGAAGCACCCATTCAGGCTTGCGGGGCAGAAACTGCCTATCAGCTTCCGCAGACATGGATTTAATTCAGAGATAGGAAGCAGAAAAATGAAGGCTTTGGGATGAATTTCGTGAGGAAGTGGTAATGAGGTATGATTGTTGTCTTCCACTCTTATTACTGTCACTAGATACCCTGTGATCTTATATATGAGATAGAATGTTAGGCAATATTGTGTAATAAAATTATCAGATACATGCGAGTTAGAAGAGTTCAGAAAGGTTGGACTTACCAATAACATTAGATTGATTGACACATCTCCACAACCTTGGAATCCATGATAAAGGGGAATCGCTTGTCCTCATTGTATCTGCGGTAATCAGTTTCGGAAACCTTTCTAGTGCATTGCTCACTCGGAATACAACTGGCTGATTATGCGCTGGCTTATCGAATGCGGTTTCCAGAAAACTTCTGGGGCATGGATCTTTTAAAGACCAATATTGGAGATCGTATCGGCATTGAAAAGGGGAAAAGAGAGTATAAGCGGGGTTATCGATTGGGAGTGAATGAATACCAACGTGATTAGGTACACGATTAAGAACTTAGAAGTGACCATGAGCTTGCTTCTAGTCTCCTCAATCTTGATATTGCTAGTGAATTCAGTCCCACTCTTCAGTAAATATATTCTCACACTCAGCATACACTAGTTGTCGAAGGTATGAGTACCAGGGAAACCCTGCTGCGTGAAATGCGCCATTCACTGAACGATGATTTCGGTGCTAGGATTTTACAGTGACAAAGTGAATTAGATTCTGAAGGAACGAGAATTGGTGTAATATTGGGTTTGGGATGTAATGATGTAATGACTGGCTATTTAATAAGTCTGAGTTCCGGAGTCTTGTCTTGTACTCTTCAAATATTGTATCTTAGTTCTAATTTGAAGAATGAATCGAGGGGAGAGCGTTTCTCTTGCATTAGAATTCAGGGAAGCGATTTCGCTAGAAATTTGTGTAAATATTCTAGATTTGTTAGGTAGAGATTTGAAAGTAACAGTAACTATCCTAGGTACCTATTCAAATATATTTCCATTGTTGATTAAAGTATTGTTGCTGTCAGGGATGAAAATGATGACTTCCGTCCCAACAGTGCAACGATCCCGTCGAAAAATTAACGATACCCGCCTAACAACGGAGATATTGTTCCTGATTTTCGATTGCAAAAAATATCAATCTGATGTCTTTGTGGAGATGGCCACTTTCTTTCCCTGGCATATTGAATTTCTTCTTTAAAGACTTGACCTGAATGACTGAACAACCACTGTGCTGTTATTTTATAGACACTTGTTTGTGAGAGATAGAGCGAATGTAAATCACCGGTTGGTGGAAGCAAAGTACATGGCATTCGCAAAGTCACATGCAAAATGTATAGGAGATTGGTAGTGAATCACACACCCTCCAAACCATTCCACCACCCAACTCCGCCTTTCCGCCTTGACAATCTACTCAAGATTCTCCTGGTGACATTGATCTAGAATCATCACTTTCGACTATCGAACATCCCGCCGTCCCTCTCATTTCCATAATTCGAATCATATATTCCAGTGAAAATGAGATATCACCCACTTCGTAGCCGGGATGACCTCAGAACTTTCTGCTAATGGTCTATCACATTATCTTGACAAGAAATACAGATACCTGAGCTTACGCCTTTCATATAGTCTCTAGCAAGCTCCCAGTTGGGATACAGGTGAAGAACATACATAGCACTGGCCTATTGGATGCTACGACAAAACTTATTTGTGAAAGCCAGTGAGTGAGGAAGCACCAGCCGGCATGTTCAGATTTCAGCTTTGTGGTTTTTCGCATCTGGGATTGGTTCCGGGAAGTGATTATCACTGCTCTTAGAGGAAAAGGAATCACAAAGTAGGTACTGCGAGGAAGATGCACCTTTTTGAATAGTCCATTGATTTTCCTCTGCAATATTTCATCGGCTAAACATCATATGCATCTATGCCTCCCTAACATCAAATTCCCACGTGCGCCTTTCTTATTATTCGCAGAGCTAAAATCCGTAACCTAATTGCATTCGCTGAAACTTGCGTATCATAGATATCATCATTGTAAAGAGTCCTTGAGTAGAGTGGGTATATTTTCCGCAAACGCTGAAATGCAATAACTTATTCATCCTTGACGATTAATCCGTCTGGAATACTGGATCTTTGGGCGAACTCACTATTGAGGTTAGTGACGTTAATGAATTAGAAAGAGACACGGAGAGACTCACGTCCAACTTCCATCATATACTTTTCGTACACCCGACTCTCCATATGCTTCTGCCAATGCAGCATCAATAATGGTAGCTGTAACACCTGTACCACAGCTGCTGACGATAGGCTTTGTCGGATCAATACCCTTGCTCTCAAATATCTTCCTCAATTGGTCTGCGGGTAACAAAGTCTTGGTAGTTGGATCCAATAGTTCTCCCATGGGCAAGCTGATACTACCCTTCATATGACCACTGGTCAAACCTTCTCTAGGCTCGGGATCCTTTCCGGTCCACCTTCCATAACTTCTCGCATCCAATATTTGTACACCTTCCGCTCCCTCTTTACCCGTATCTTTAATAATTTCACTAACCTCCTCGAAATCCGCAACTTTACTTTCATCCAGTTGTGGAATCGGATATGCGCAAGTATCAACATCCCAGAATTCCCCACTTTCAGTTGGATACCCCTCTTCCACCCACAATTTGAAATTATTCAAAACATGTACACTTGGATGTCCGAAAACCTTTAATGTCCATCCTACTCTCGGCGCGCTGAATAAGCCTTGCTCATGAGAATCATACACAACAACTGTATCATCTCTGCGGATTCCCAACGCGCTCATAGCAGATGCGAATGTTTTCGCATCGGGAAGCATGTGAGGATACGGAGAACGTTTGTCGCATACTTTATCGAGATCAAAGAAACGACTGGAGGGGATTCGCTTTTCGCGGAAGGTTTGGAGACCATTGAGAGGAGAGGTAGGAAGGAACCATGTTGAGCAAAGGGCGACGGTGCGGGGAGAAGTGGAGATCTTGGAGGGGGGATTCTTTTTAAGAGCTTCGGATAATTCGGAGGGAGTGACAAGATATGATGAGAATGATCGATGGGAAGTCATGGTGATGTATCTAGAAAATGTCGAAGTGAGAGGTTGTCGTGAGAAAGAGCTCAAAGTTGGAGCTCGTCGATAGAGCATAGATGCTGCCATTATGGCAGATATGATGTTATCGCAGATTAATAAGAATTTACCATTGACTTGAGCAAGCTTTCAAAAGTTCCTGTTCAAAGCTGGAGTTTGGAGATGCTTGAAGTATTCGAAGCTTTTAGATCTGAACAATGAGCTTTCAAATTATTATCAACAAAGATTGGAATTTATTGGAATATATGTGTGTTGGAATCTTTCCTTGGTTTGTAGTTGTTTGGTTGTTGGAGATTATTGTGGTGTAACCTTATCAACCGCCCAGAAGCTTATCAGAGCTTCCAAACCCTTAGCACGTGATATGACCGCTTGCCGTTGCTCCCCCGCATTATTTGTTGATTTGAATCAAGCTATCGCATCCACGGCCTTCAGTGTTCACAACGTTTGAAGTTGCTTTTCTACCAATACTCGAGCTCCGAAAATAGTCGCAGAACCGGCGCCAAAGACTAAGAAGATGAAAGTAAAGATCAGAACATGGAATGCGGTTGCGACTTGGAGGTGGGATCTTGACGAAGACGACGTCTGTGGTATTTGCCAGGTACATTTCGATGGGACATGTCCTACTTGCAAATACCCCGGAGACGATTGCAGTTTACGTATGCCACTTCAATTCCTTCCAGGTTATGCTTGAATGGCGCAATTAATCAGTCAAAATAGTATCAGGGAAGTGCGGGCACAATTTCCATATGGTCAGTTACGGATTCCATTGATTGACGGAACATGTGTTGACAAAGACTCAGCACTGTATCGTAGAATGGATCAAACAAGATTCATCCAAGGGGCAGTGTCCTATGTGCAGACAGAGTAAGATTCTTTTAGGATTGACGGGATTATCGCAGAATGTTGATTGAATATGCAGAATTCGAATGGACCGACAATGCAACTGCGCCGGAGCCAGTACAGCCTTGATAGTCAAACAGCTGCTTACAGAAGAGCACGAGCACACGGCGTCCAAGATACTACCATCGAGTTCAAGGAGTTATCTTATTTTATATGGCGTTGTTAATGGGGACAAGGCAGCAAGTCGGGCAGGCGTTGGACGATTATTGATACCCTCGGCTTATGTACAAGAATGCATGATTACTTTTGTCGCAAAGTGTGGAGGGCTACATCGAAACTGGATGAATAATTGGCACATAGAATAAAATCGATCATAGCAATCTTCGTTTTCGTCATAGTCCCACGAATCAGTTGCTCGACTTTCCAGTATCACTCAACACAATTTTGCAGCACTTTCCTCTTTTTACTCGAATAACTACTCCAACTTACCATCTAATTGTCCAGTCAACGCGAGTCTACATTCAAAGCTCAATCGTGCTTGGAAAAAACCACCTGAAGTCTAAATCCAGTTTCCTCTACGATTTTTGGATTTCGAAAACTTCTTGAGTTGAGCGGACCCTCAAAGATTCCTGATAGCTTATATTAGTGACATTCTACCTTATTTCCGTTCCAACGGACACGCTCTTTCTTCAGCCGATGTCACTCTCTCAGTCACTCACACTTTCTCAAATGGCAATAGGTGATGATATTTTTGCCTTGGGCCGGAGAAGTACCAAAACCAAATTGTTTCAGCAGCAGTAATGTCAATCATTTACTGTACATATTATGCAAAACGCCGGTTTCTGTCACATACGACCATAGACTGAGGAGAATTGGGCATCCCGTCCGCTCTGCCATACACAAGCCTCAGATCGGCAGATTAGTAGTTGGGTGGGTGACCACCAGCGAATCCCTGCTGTTGTATGTTTTTTTCCCTTTTTTTGCCTTTTTTTATCTTAGAAAATCATACAATCAAGAGACGGTGCTTTGTGGTTTCTAAATCGGGGGAAAAAGTTTATGTTGTGCTCCATTGCATGCCTTTTTTGTGGGAGTTCACATTCGGTTGCATCTCAACAGCTTTGATATTGGGTAAAAGCAAAAGTGTTGAGCTCATTATCTCCTGCTGTCATATGGAATGCCGGTTTTGCGTAAGCTGTGTTCATGATCCCTCTGGCTCTATTATGCTCTATTATGCCCTGTTCATTTCCTCTTTCTTGGTTTTCGAATTTTCTTCCTTATTGTTTTGACTGTCGCAACTTGTAGCCCCTACAATGAAGCAAGCCATGGGGCCTCCAGCAATAACTCGTTTGGTTTTAAGCCGCAAGACTACTTCTTACATTCCTTTGGCCTTGATTTCCATTTACCCCTCGTTTAAGGGTATGCAGTTCAGACCCAGAATCCAAATGTTTGCAAAGAATCACACGTAATGCCATCCCGTTGTATCTGCCTTTCACACCATGATTTTGGACTTCGGGTATACTGAATTCTGTGGCTAGACATCAACACCTTTTCTGCTATTAACTATCGATCACTGGGAGGCGGTTTGATCAGTAATTGCCTTATGCTCGCCATAATATGCAGAGTATCGAATATTCTTACACAATGACGTCGAGAACAATAGCCAATTGTCACCTTCAATTGAAGTAAAATTGGTCTTGATGTTTGACCTGTGCCGGGGAGTGTGGGGTAGCTCCTGCAGCAATGTCTTGGTGATCTCGTTCCGTAAGAGATATGCATGTAAGTTCTAGTGATATATAATATGATAATCTCCTTCACCGATTCTGATTTATCCTATGCGCTCCTATTTAACCAATGATATGTGGGGACCTAATGCACAGCTACATGCAGTATGATTTTATAATCAAGCGTTTTCCTTCAACACCATGAATTTATCCTCAATCACAAAATTTCATTCCGTGGAATTCTTCAGATACTGGAAACTCTGAATTTCGTCCATGATTTACCATGCACTATTTATCCTTCCAATTTGTTTCTTCCCTGATATGTCTAGCTCCTTGGGATGTGCTATCCGCTCCAACATATCAATATCATCGTGAACCTCAAGCTAATGAGGCTTTTGCTTCAAGAGACTACTTTTATGTTGGTGGTGAATATGTTACTACCTCAACCAATACTACGATATTTGTGAACCAGATGTATGTGGAACGTCTCGTTCCAAGTAGAATTGAACAACCTTATCCTGTTGTGTTTATACATGGTCAAAGCATGACTGGTACCGTAAGTGCCCTTCGTTCAGCATCATAGATCACATGTGCACGCACTAAAAAGCGAACTGAAATAGAACTGGCTCAACAAACCCGATGGAGCACCAGGATGGGCAACCTATTTCTTATCCCATGGCTATGAGATATACATTGTAGACCAACCTGCGAGAGGTAGAAGCGCTTGGAATCCAAACGGTAATACAACATTGGTGACTTATACTGCGGAGAGAACAATGCAGAGGTTCACGGCGACGGAGAGATATAACTTGTGGCCTCAAGCAGCGTTGCATACTCAGTGGCCTGGTGTATGTTGCTTCTTCTTGTACCACCCTTCTTAACCTATCTAACACCGGATCTTTGAGCGAGCGAAAAATCGCTAATCAAACTCTTTGAGGAAAATAGAATGGCTCAATAGGAGATCCCATCTTCGACGCTTTCTATACATCTACCGTCCAATTTCAATCCGACACAGTAGTTCAAGAAATCAACACGCAAAAGGCAGGAGCGGCACTCCTCAATCGTATAGGCCCTGCAGTTCTGCTGAGTCACTCGCAAGGTGGTCTTATGCCCTGGGTCATCGCAGACAAAGTTCCCGAATTGGTGAAAGCTATCGTGGCGATCGAGCCGACTGGTCCTCCATTTCAAGATGTACTTTTCCCTCCGACGACGCCAGAAGGGTTTACCAGAAACTATGGAATTACAGATATTCCATTGCAGTATGAACCGGAATTCCAGATTGGAGAAGTATTAGAGAAAATTCTAGTCACAAACCAAAAGGCTGGAGATAACGAGTTAAAAGAATGTTGGTTACAAAGAGAGCCAGCAAGACAGCTCAAAAATCTGAAGGGGATTAAAGTCCTGGTGGAATCAGCAGAGGCGAGCTTTCATAGGGTTTACGACGGATGTACGGTGGAATACCTAAAGCAAGCGGGCGTGGAAGTGCAGTGGATGAAACTAGGTGATGAGAAGGATCCCCAAGTGGCTGAAATACATGGGAATGGCCATATGCAGTTTATGGAGAAAAATAGCGATATCATCGCTGGAGTGTTAGATGAATGGATAAGAGAAGCTGTTGGAGAGAATTAAGGGGTATCGGGAAGTACCAAATCTAATTTCTTCTGGAACAACTCATTTTTTCCTTGGCTTTGGGAGCTTCGAGGTCAGTATTTACAATTCATGTCTTCTCATATCGGCACTTTGCCAAAGAGAATAAATTTCCTCGTTGCGAGATTCTAGATGAATTGGGTTCCATCTTACCCCGCCCCCACATTACTAGCCAGATAACACGCGAATCAAAATCATGGTGAGATGAGCTACGAGGGCCGAGGCTGCGCTGCTTAACAAAACTTGGCACCAGCTTATGAACCTATCGCAACTTTGGTCTTGGCCGATCTCGTCCAAGTTTTATTTTTGCACAATCGTGTTGAGGCTTTCGAAATTGGGGATGATTGATATGGATGTGAAAGTTCTTATCATCGAATCGGAGAGAAGCGAGGGACTCCTGATTTCAAAAGAAATATGGATTGTATTGGTGTTTTTTTTTCAGTCGGTTCGAAGCAGGCAAGATCTCGTCTTTACATACTATGATACTCGTAGATACCTATCGAGCTTGCTCGAGAGCCGGATTTTAGTCCAGCTGGCTGCTGGTTGCAGTACAGATACGGGGTGGGATATAGAATTATATTTAATGATCTCCTTGGCACATTGGATTGGTTATCATACCCCCCCACATTTTGGTTCTTTTTAAGGTTGATTTGACGTCCTTGGGAAAGTTAATTAAGGTATTATTTCTTGGAATTTAGATTATTGATTTCAAAGATGATGTATTTGTGGAAAGTCACTGAGTAAAAGTTCGATGAGTGTATTCAATTCATTGGGATTGGATAGCGTTGTCTGTTCGGGTGATAGATTACGCCATAGTGAGTTTGAATCCGACAATGTGAATTAATACCTTGACAGCCCTCTTCACGAAAACATAACATTCAAGTCGCTGACCATTCCTTTCAAACTATGGTGCACGTGTATAGTACTCGACATCGCATTGATGTTTTGAACAAAAATCGATCTCATGTATGACGCAAATGATGAGTGGAAACGGTAGAACTATGGCAACTCTACTCCCTTCCTCCGGTGTAGCGGGAAGAATTCTCCGAATTGGTGAATCTCTTACTTTACAAACTACTTTAGTGAAGTTTCTCCATCATTTTGACTTTTGCTGCTGTCTGAGTATGATTCTCTTGTCCTGATGGAAGACTCCCTGTGAAGTCGAATAATCTGTAAATTGATCATCTCATCTCATCTCATCTCGATTAGATGCTTCATGTGAGTTGACGAGATATTTAACAATTGAAGTACTTGCGCTCTCCCCTTTGCTCCGGTAGAATATGAAGAGCTCCTCTGATCGATAAATTATATTTCGAATCCTTTTAGCAGCCAAGCCTCTTCTTTTAAAGTTTATGCCTTCTGCACGTCATTCGAGATTACGGAGTATTTTTGATCATATCCCGTGCCTGCATGCTCTATAATTAGATGGATTTGCCACGTTTGTGTTACTAGAAGCAGGTTTCGAATGGTCTATTTCTGATTCAGCAAGAGAATTAGTCTAGAACGAGAAAGGATTGTTGGCTTTTTAAAGCTTAGTGTGCTTTCCAAGTAGTCCAGTGCTGTACTTCACAACTACGACCTACGTGAGGAAGTAGTTTTGAGGGCTGAGAAAAATGGATTTTATTATAATGGATCTGGTTACCATTGGACCAGCCATACCCCTTAGGGCTCTGGCGTCGAGCTTATAATACAATATATGCCTATTTAGGCTAGCACCTTTCTCTGACTGTTTATTCTACCTCGGTAGAAATGGCCACTAAG